TACATACCTTTTTTATTTCGTGACTGATTTTATTCATGCCGCCATTAAAACAAAGCTTGCGCAACACGTGTTCGATGGTCCATGAACTATCGTCGTCTATTAATCTCAAGAAGAGCTAGAGGCACTGTATCAACTTGCCCCTGTAACAACTAGCCCCGGTCTCCCCTATTTCACAGCGCTTTGTAGCAGCTATCCATTAGCATTATATTGACATTAGACAGTTTGAAACAAGTATCATGTTGCCACATGTAAGACCATATCACTTGCATAAGCCTGGCTTGAGCAGGATTTATTCTCATATCATGGATTTTAAAACAGAGCTCCAAAGTCCTTGTTTATTTCTTAGTAAAACAAAGATTTTTAAGCTACTGCTTTATGAGTAATAACTAGAAAATAATGTATATTTTTACAGTGTTTTGTAAAATATATGATTTAATACGTTCAATGTGTTAACTGTAATTAGTTTACTATATTTAATCCTCCAAGAACACACACACACATATATCTATATATATATACTCTTTACTGATAAACATAAAATGTGGCCTTAGAAAAATTTATATTCCCAAATTCTGCATAATATTCTAATGTCCTGCGATATTCACTCACTTAGTAAGTGAAAAGTATAGTAGGTTTTATTTAAGCCATCAAGGTTACATTTATTATAACAATTTCTCATAATCATAGTTAAACCTAACATCTGTCACTTAGATTGCATGTATTGCACTTACAATGCATGTATTGGAAGACCAGAACGAATATTTTTTTACAAACAGTTGTAGCCTTCAAAGTAATTTGCTTCACTGTACGATAGAAGACCATATTTCTAAGATTTTGTAAAATCAAAAGAATATTGTGATTATAAGCAATCTATGCTTTCGTTTTAAACAAGTACAATCGCTGTTTGTTTCTACCATCATCAGATTAGATAAAATAGGAGAGTAATGAGAATTGTTCTTACTAGAATTAGGTTTTTGGTTATTATTTCTAAGACAATGTTTACCTGATACTCGTTTTTAAATTCGTGTTCCATAAAACTTAACCTGCGCAGCTCCCAACTCAGTTCGAAGGCGGTCAGAATAGGGTCTTTACTAGAGAGCGAGATGAGTGAGGGTGAGGCCAGAGCAAGATAGGCGTTAATCCTAGAACGTGAGTGTCGCAGACTGTCTTCAGAGCTGGATACCACACACTCCCTGCACCCACACCGGACGTGATGAGGGGTTGGAAGTGTAGCTCCACGATCCAACAGAATTTTGATAATTTCATAATTGTCTCGGTGTGCAGCAAGGGTCAGGGGTGAAATATCTGGAGTGAAGATTGCTGTGTCTCTGTCTATGGCCTCCCAACTCTGAAAATATCAAAAAAATAGAAATACTTCTCTTTTTACCATCCACTCAGACTGTTTTATGAGTTTATAAATAGCACCTATGTGAATGCGGGCCAGTTTAAAGGTGACTGTATTTACTTCCCTGCTATATTTCAATGAAGTTTTTAAATTATTAGAATCACTTTTCACAATTAAATTCACTAATCCTTGGAATACATATGGATGATAAATCCAGCAGCATTAAATATGCACATATGTGAATCAGTAGTGAGTTTTACAAAAATTAGATATTTACAAGTACTGCAGTATTATAAATGCGTTACAAGCAGCTACATTCTTGTGATTTGGTAATCCAATAATAGAACGGATAATCAGAAATTATTGGCTTTAGGCCAGTGAGATTGCTAATTCAACAAGTGTAATTGAAATAACTGGTTATTCGAATAAACTACTGAACGTTTTGGCCAATAAACTACTTATATATGTATATATATATATATATATTGTCTATTGGTTAAAGCTACTGACATTTTAGGCTGATAAAAAGTTAAATAATTCCAAATATTACTGTTTAGTAACATACTTATTTGCTAAATTAAATTTGCAGAGAAATGGTAACAAAAGAAAAACTGTGTCTTAACATTAGATTGAAAAAAAAAAGACAAGGAAAGAAGAGGAAAATGTCACTCAACGAAGCTTCTTCTTCCTTACATTAGAACAATACAGGATGCACTTAACTAGTTAGCCAGAAATAGAGTAGAACAGCGGAACTCTAATTTAATTACAGTTCTACTTTTTTATGTTGTTTCCATTTCAACAGTCTCCTTAGATTCCACATGTTTATGCCTATCCCTAAATCAACTTAAGTTTTATATAAAAGATGATAGTGACTAGACCTGTAGAGATATGTGATTGCCAACTGGTGATAAAAGCTTTTTAAAATTTTACACTTTTACCTTTTCTTTTTAAATATCGCTCGTGAAAGTTTCGTGTTGCTCAGCAACAGATGGAAATAGGTTCTTATTTACGACTGAAACTTTAAGTAAAGTCGCCACTTGAGCGCTTCGAAGAAAATAAACAACAAAGATGACTAGTATATAAAACGCTATGTATATATATATATATGTATGAAAGTATATTTTCGCTGACATATCTGAAAATTATGTATGATTATTAAAGGCGAAAGAGAGAAAAAAAAATGCATATTTCTCCATTACTCAATAATGACTGTTAACTTCTATCCCGATGAAAGCTATATTGCACAGGCTTTTAAGTATGCAAGATGCAGTGCTATAACACTCTAATAATATAAAAATCATATACTTATACATTGACTGGTCGCTTTATTAGGACAGCCACCAGCCGCCTAATATTAGGTTGGACCACCTGTCATTGTGATAATAGACTACAGAAGGTGCCGAACGGTGCCTTGATGGACCGTAAGGTCCGCATTCATTCAGCTAAATAAACTGTGATAGAGGATGGTCCTACTATAAAGGCTCGTGTCCCATCGGGAGACGGATATATCTTTGGTTTTACTCATTGGCTTGCAAACCAACCACTGTATGATGTTTACATTTATAGGACTTTTACTTATTGGCTTGCAAACCAACCATTGTATGATGTTTACATTTATAGGACTTTTACTCATTGTCTTGTAAACCAACCACTGTATGATGTTTACATTTATAGGACTTTTACTCATTGTCTTGCAAACTAACCACTGTATGATGTTTACATTTATAGGACTTTTACTCATTGACTTGCAAACCAACCACTGTATGATGTTTACATTTATAGGACTTTTACTCATTGTCTTGTAAACCAACCACTGTATGATGTTTACATTTATAGGACTTTTACTCATTGGCTTGCAAACCAACCACTGTATGATGTTTACATTTATAGGACTTTTTACTCACTGACTTGCAAACCAACCACTGTATGATGTTTACATTTATAGGACTTTTTACTCACTGACTTGCAAACTAACCATTATCAAATGAGAACATTTTTATATGTATAGAACTAGAGTAATCAACTATTGCGTCACATGATTAGTCTATTCTGCAGTTGTATATAGAAGGGGTGTTCGTCAAATATGTGTGAGCTCTAATAAAGTTGCTAGTTAGCGTAGGATGCTACTTCGCTCCTAAATAATACACCTATAAAAGAGTCGTGACTACAGAGCGTGTAACATATAAGTATTGTTAGATAACTATGCTTATATGAAACAGGACCATGAGATTTTGGATCAGGGTTAAAATCAGTGAAACGTTTACTCCTGAACTTGGTGAACACATAGAAGCTATTAAGGCGTGTTCCAATAACAACACTTAGAATAAGCTGTTGAAATCATAGCCGGATGTTTGTAAGTTTAGGGACATACAACACTAACATCTGGAGTTCGATTCCCTGCGGCGGACACAGTTCAGATAGTCCATTGTATGTAATTTTTCAACAACTAAATTTTGTATTTTAAGCATTTACAACTCACCAAAAATAATGCTGTTTACAAAGACACCATAATACATGACACAAAAGTATGTGTTTACTCTTAACAAGACAGTTTTTTAGTGTAATATTTACTCTTTTAGGAGTTTGCTTTTCTGAGTTGCGTCAAATAAATAACAACAAAGAAATAAATTTGTATAATTCATCGTTTAAGTTATATACTTTCTGTTTTCGAAGGAGTAAAAATACAAAGATTAAAAATGTTATAGAAGCTAGATTGGATAAAGTAAAATAACTTTGTAATCTGTATCAGTTCATGCTAAACATCTGTATAGCTTAAATTTTGGGTAACGTTTCATGCATATAAGGGTTCTAAAGCTGAAAACTACTTCCCTCAAAGTCTTCAGCTTTCCTTATTTGTTTTGATATAACTTGACTTAGAATATTCAACTTATCTCTACTTACATAGAGTTGATTGATTTCATTAAAAAAGTAAACTCACGGATAAGAACACTGATTAATGTCTTTTTAATAACAATAGGTAATTCATAAACAGTGGACTATAGGTACTTTGTACATCGCGGATTTTGAAACCTGAATTGTAGCGCCTTAAGCCTGCATACTTACCGCTGAGACACTGTCAGAAAAACGTTTTGCTGCAACTACTGTATAGACAAAGACTCTAACGATGTTTGATTTTGTCAAAGTTTGTAACATGAAGGTCAAATCAGTCGATATTTTGATGCTTTGAACAAATGACGTTAACTTGTTTTTTGTTTTTTTTAGTAAACAGCATTTACGTTTGCCTAAGATGAAAAAGAAACAAGGGACCTTCCGAAAAGAAGGAAGAATCAAGCAATACAAGTTGCTGAGATTAACATTTCTGTACACTAATCAGCCTAAAACCAATGCCTAACGGCTAAAACATACAGAGTTAAATAAACAGACCGTTAAAGTGAAACCTTCTAGCATAAAATGTCTGCCTGAAAACAATCTAATTTATTGATGCTGAAAGTCTCTGTAAAACGTTATTTTATAGCCTGAAGCTCACGATAACTCAGTCTTTTATAGAACTTAAAGCACAATGGAAATTTACGTGCCTAAGAACCGTTATTACTACTTGTTTTCATTTGAATGTTAGGATATTCAAAACTTTGCTAAATTTGGTCACGATTAACCTAAAAAAAAAGGCTCGAATAATTTTCAACAAAAAGTAGATTTACTAGTTCAATTTCTTACCCGCTCTATAGTAAAGTGATTAAGAAGAAAATTTAGCACAATCTTATTGGTTGATTTATTTATTGAAGAGTTTATCTTCAAAAACTAAGCTTTATTTCATCATCTGTTTCTTATAGCGAAACTTCTTTATTTATTTTACACTTTGTTCTCAATGATACAATATTTGTTCTCTGAATTGAGAAAAATTAACATGGATTTTACAATTAAAACAAAAAGTACAGTTTTACGATTTCCTTTTTTCGGCTTATTTTTATCATATTTTCGTGTGAAAATTCCAGTGACTTATGTAATCAAAATATTGTTTTCGGAAACACGCGTATTCGTGATTTCGTTGAATATTTTTATCAATGCCTTGAAACTAAAAACCAATACATGCGTGAATGTACAATGTAGCGACAATTTGCTGATTCTGAATGCTTGCTAACAACGTACAGTAATGGAAGTAATGGAAACACATAAATGACACATATACAGGAGTCACAAATAACGAGCAATTAGACGTTGAACTTATTAATGGTAAAAAACATTATCACGTAAAAATATAAAAGAAAATCTAATAACTTGTACAATGCATTAGTATTATGAATGTTAGCTCTTTGTTTTACTTGTAGCATTAGACCTTTTTGCTCATGCTGCCACACAGTTTACTTGTGTATGATTGTGAAATGTTATTCTAAATGTCCTGTATTACTACTAAACATTCATCCAAGGTGTTTAGTCCCTTTTTACTTTCTCCGTTTTTACAAAAGCTCATACAGTCTCAAGAATGTTCATTTCGGGACTTCGTGCAGGTCAACCCGTAATTTTGAGTATTTCATCAGCCACTGTCCCACATTTCTACTGATTCCCTATTGTTAAGCACAATAGGTATTATACATTGTAGGTAGGATACCATTCTCCTCTCCACCGTCGAACAACCTGTTGTTGGTTGTTGAAGAACAATTCGAACTTGGATTTATCTGTAAAAAGCACACTTCTCGAGCTTTGCCTATTTCACCGTTTGTGGCCTGATGCCCATTTCAATCTTTTGGTTTAGCTACTTGTTGTTGTTTCGGTTTTTACCCATGCCTATTATATTATTAACAATTCAGTTTCACGTACCCTTTTCAGAGTCTTGCATATAGCTATTAATGAAACATAGAATCTTGCGACAATTTTTTGCATCGATTATCACTGATCAGCCAAAAAATTTTATTTCTATACACTTCTTATGTGGTATTTCAGTCTTGGAAACCAAGAATGGATACACACTGCTACTACTGTGCATAGTATGACGGATTGTACTTGAAGAAGCTTTAAATATGTAACTGTACTCTGATGTAGCTTAT